CCTCGCTGCCGGTGCGGTCTGCAACAGCTCTACAGCTCCCGGGGCTCTGAAGCAGCCGTGGCCTTCAGCTCCGTATTGCACTTTTACAAATTCTGGTAGTCTAATTAAACATAATCCTGTCCTAGACACACTGAGCATAGCAAGTTTGTTTACAAATGTAAGGTGGCAGGACCAGCCTAGGCAACACAGTGCACTTACAGAGCAACTGCATATGCAGAGCAATAACACGTGTTTAGGTTGCCCGGAGACCTTAATTTCTTTTATCTATCTTCCTGTGTTACAAACCAATAAAAGTATTAGTAGCTGCTCCTACTTGCTCTAACTGTTCTGATTACGAATGGCATTTAGAGCCCTCAAACACTTTTCTCATGGATTTCAGAGGCAAACTTACACACATCTGGGTACATTCTGGACCAGGTTATGTCCACCTCCCCTGCAAATCAGTACCCTCAAGTTCCCTAGAATTTGGGGCTAATTTAATTAACAGCAATGCAAACAGTTCCAATCCTCAACCCACACTATGGCTTTAAAATTTACATCCTGAGCTTCTGTATCATTACAGTAATAGGATAAAACAGACTGAGTATGCGAGGAAGCATCTTATTAGATCAGGTGATGTAAGAGAGCAGTGTGACACAGTCTGTCTTTGGTGGCTGCATGAGCACTGCTCATCAGGGCAAGCAGCAAGAAACAAGCTCAAATGGCAGCTTCACACAGCTGGATAAACAAAAATGGGTCAGCAACTACTCAGGGCTTCAGGACCCCAAATGCCCCTTCCAAGTATCAAACGTGGGATGTCTGACTCCCTAGGTATCTGCTATTCTAAAAGCTAAAATACTCTTGGATATAAAGCTCATGTCAAACATTAACGCTCACAGCACTTCCTCTTCTCAAGTCCTGCACCTAAACCCCTGCTTTTGGATCAGGACAGGAAGTGATTTAAAGCTTTGCACATGTACATAGTCATCACATGCAATCATCATTAGGCAGCAAAGCGTTGGGAAGGAGAGGGCATTTGGCACCAAGAAAGCTGAACTGTGTAAGAGATGAGCTGTGGCCACGCTGACAGCAGCCTGCCAGGGAAGGAGAGCTGCTTCTCAGCAGGTATCTAAAACTCCTGTTCTCTCATCCTGGCTCCTGAAGGCATCTTTAGTCCTAGGGAAAGTGAGAGTGCTGGAGGATTTTTGGAACAAGTTAGACTAACATCCATGAGTCCTGTCTGGCAAATACTTGCTCAACACTGGGGCCCGGGTTCATGAGCAGTCCATTCCCTAGGAGTCACGCTGCTTCCACCCTTTTCTTTGAAGCCCTTCATCTTGTTAAAGATCTTTTTTCCCCAGACTTCTAATGCTTCTCCAAACCACAGCCACGCTTCTGCTAGGAAGACTCCAAGTGCGCAATGAGCCCAATGCCTCTGTGGGGTCAACAGTGCTATTCCTAGAGCCTATTGCTGCAGAACTGTCGAGCTGCAGGTGCCCCAGGCTGCCTAACAAGCCTGTGCACGTCCCGTCACGGCACCTGATAAAACATTCAGGAAGCAAAACTGCTGAAACCAAAACATGCAGTTCTTAGTAAAACCAGATTTGCAGAGCCCAAGTGCAGACAGAAAACATTCACAAATATAGTAATTGATCTTATATAAAAATATATAATAATACATTATAATTCTTTTCACAAATCACCATCTTGGAGGCCCAGGCATTTTAACTGAAAAGGTTTGGCCAAGATTTCAATTTTTTTTTTAAGATATCCATACTTAAGCAAAACCGTCTCTCGAGCGCTAGTGCTCACATTGCCTTGGCAGCTACAGCTGTGCCACACTGATAGGCAGCTTTCCAGATCAGGAAACCACAGGTTAGAATTTGAGTCGTTCAAACTAGTAGGAAAGAAGAATAAAACCTCACAGTCTGCCTCCCCATCCATTGGTCTTCAGAGAACTGGGATTCACTTGTATAGTGAAGGGAGGTTAGGAGGGGGGGGAAAAAAACAACAACAAAAAAGGCATAACAAGGACTGTTTCCTCAATGAAGCTTCAGAACCAGACTGAACAAAGCGGGCTTCATTTCCTCCTGTGGAAGTGCCCAGCGTAAGAGTAATTCTGAATATGCATAACATGCAAAATTCACATGACTGCCCCAGCAGCTTCACTGCTCAACCCCTAGTGCACTGTGCCTGCCACTCGTGTGAGACTCGAGCTACCAAACCTATCACCAAAAGCACAGCATGTCCAAGGAAAGAAAGATGTCACGTTATTCAGTGCTTCCCACCACGCAGCAAATGAATGAATGTAGAGCAACTCACACTGCTTTTCCTCCCAGCAGAGCTTAGTCTGCTCCATAGGTTGGGTAAACCACTTGGTGGTATCTTCTTTAAGGCAGAAAGCACACAATATTCCTGAAATCCTATGTAAATGGTTAATAATAGCCATCAGCTGAAAACAAACTTCATTTTTATGGAAGAGCAGTAGGGTTTTTTGATATTCAAAAAACAACTTGATTTTTCATACATGCTAGTAAATCCTAATTATGTGCTTCAGGGGGTTATACTTCTCCTGCTCTTAATCTCATGCTAGGGCAATTTCCTCTGCCCAAGATATGGTACATACCATGGTGGTAGGAACATCTGCACCGAGTCTCTCACTAGCATTTCTAGTATAAAAGAATTGAAAAAGACAATTTAGGCCAGCAGTGGCTTCCCTCATCACACCCTAAGGATTTCTTTTTTTCCATGAGATTAAAAAATAAAAATCAAACAATCCATTCTTAAAATTATTTCTTACACAAGAAGAAATTAAAGGTAACAAAACACAGATTGCAAGAATGACATTTTTCAGCCAAGACATATTTAACCAATATTTTTTTTCTCAAGCTGATTCTTGTAATCACAAATTGTAATTCACTACTCAAAGATAAGAGATCTCTGCTCAGGGATCCCATAATTTCTTTTGTGGTCTTCAAATAATTTATTTAGTTTCTGTAGATAGAGCTCATGTAGCTGTTCAATCTCTTCATTGGTAGGATTCAAGTTCTGTTTCACAGGGATGGGGCTTCCCACTGTAAATTAAACACAACAGCAAAGTTAGCTCCATTGACATCTCTTTTAAAGCGCAATTATCCTCCCTCACCCCTGTACTAGCTCCATCACAGCTTCCCATGAGGTGGCAGAATCACAGCACAGCTCTCTCCCAAACCCACCTTTCACAGGCCTAAGCCCTGGGTCTGCTTTTCACTTTCTTTGACTTGAGTTCAGACAGAATGGGTTAAAAAAAAGTCAAAAACCTCACTCATCAGTTTGGCAGCAAAGGAACCAACGAGGAGTGTTGGCTCTAACCTAAAGGTACAGTTTACAATTCAGTTTACCCTGGCATGGGCTATTGGCCATTGAGGAAGCATCTGCACAGCAAGTTCAAAATAGGTGTAAAATTAAACAGGCAGAGTAAATGCCCAGGCCTGCTGGTGCTGGCCAGCCTAGGCAATACCCTTCTGAGCTGGAAGACATCTCAATGCTCAAGTATTTTTACAAATGCTTAGCGAGTTGGACTAGTTAGAGTTAGTGAGTTCCAGGCTGGACTGCTCTGGTTGGTCTGTGCTCAGAAAAATAATTCAGAGCTTTTTGCAGCTCTTCCCACCTCTAGCAGTAACAGTGAGGAGCAAAAACCTGCAAGCTGCCTTGCTACCCTGGGTCACAACCTGTCAGTCAGCTGCAGCCTTCTCTTCTGGCTCTCTTTTTGTCCAGGCCCATTGGAGGCAGTGGCTTCTACTCAGGTGAGTAACAGAAATCAAGAGTTTGCTGGAAGATGCTTCTCATTGCAAAGGTGAGCTGTCATCTGCCATCCTCAGGGCAAGCCAACTTTGCACCCAGGTGTTGTTGGGTTTGAAAAAACAAATCCTGTTACAAATCCTTACAGGCTCTGGATGTGCTTAAGGTGGAGAAAAAGGAGAACTCGAAACCCTATGGGTGAAGTTTTATACATGCAAGAGCACATGCCAACTGAGATGACCCTGCGTGTGCAGGGGGTTCGACTAGATGATCTCTAGAGGTCCCTCCCAACCTGGGAAATGTCTGCTTCTCACTGTGCTCCTTTCTGATCTGAATACCAAAGCTGCCCACTGTGGAAGAGGCTGAGAAGACAGTTGTATCAGTCACTAACATTTTTGACAGCTGTTCATCTTTCACTGGAAAGAAAAAGAGGCTCTGGGAGCTTAATGGACTTGGCCAAGATCACACAGTATAGGTCTATCGAAAGGATGACTTGAACAGATGTTCAGGTGCCTTTGCCAAGCACTGGAAATCCCTTTCAGCAGATATTTCACCTGAGATGGAAGATGTTGACAAAAGGCAGGGCAGGTATAGCTGACTGCAAAGGGGCTGATCCTGCACCAGCTGCTGCTGCCAGCAGCTCCCTGTCTCAGCAGTGCTGAAATTCAGTCTTTACGTGACCACGAGCAGAAAGCAGCCCTGCATTCAGTAAGACATTGGGAGTATGAAAGCACTGAAGCTCAAATAAGGAATTTCCAGGAACCTGCACGAAGCTGTGCTGCTCTCCCTAATTTGCTCCTGAAGGCAGCAATAATTCCCAGCCAAACCAAATTGCTCGCAGTCCCGCAGCCCAAAACACGCTGACTCCGAGATCCTGGCGCGGGCGAGCTGCACTCCTGGCTTTGGAAAAGGAGGCTTCTGGATCAGAGGAGCCCTCGTGGCCAGCGCGGGAGCGAGCGGAGCTCCAGGAGCTGAGCCAGCACTTCCAGAGCCCGACCGAGCCCTTCGGAGGAGCCCTCCAGAACATGCAGGCACGATAAGGGCTTTCAAACATAAGGTAACGCACGCTAGAGATAAGGGATTTCATATAACAGGTTCTGTTGCAAGCCTCAGCTCTTGCTGATTTGCAGTACTGCTGTGTTTTAGCCATGGACACGCTCTGGCTCTTGTAGTAAATACGTGTTGAAGTTTTGCTTCAAAATAGAAGACATTTTAATGTCAAAAGAGTCTCAATGTCATCCGCCCAATGAAAAAGTGTCCAAAATGCCCAAAACATTTTCATTCCTATGTTTTGAAAGTATTTTGGCTTTCAAGTAAGCAACATTTTTGACCTGCCTAGGCACAATGTGGTGTTTAAAAAAATAAAACTTTTCCAAAACAATTAAATATACACCCTAGTAAAAATACAGGTCTACATGAAATTTAACATAAATTACTACTGCTTCATCTTGCATATTTTGATTTGCTCCATACTAAAACCACATCATCCCTCCTCTGGAAGGAAGGATGTCCAGTGTGGAATACAAGAGCAGCTTTATTTTTCTGGACAATCAGATTCAGTCACTCAGAACCTGGCTAAAAATTGGTCTATGCAAAATACACAAGCAGCCTTTGCAGGATACCCCTCTGATTTCCTGGAGGATTCCCAAGGAATTAAGAATGAGATTAGGCATAGGACAGAAAGGGAGAAGGGAGAAAGAAAGCCCCTTTCTCAGCTGGGGTGAAGATGACATTAAAAAAAAAAAAAGATTCATTTTAAATCTCACGTCCTTGCTTTAGATGCTCAGTAGCCAGCTGTTTTTGTTGGAACAGATTTACAAATCGACACAGATACTAGAGGCACATTTTCACATTTTAAAACCAAAAGGCATTGGAAAAGGCCCAAGGAGCTCACCAATAGTATGAATAGGTTGCCTGTAAGGTATTAGGCCAAAAGTGTATTGGAATACGCCTCGAGCATGGAACAGCGGCAGGGCGAAGCCCATGATCTTCTGCAGCTTCTCTTGGATATTCCTGAGCCGGGAACCTCTGGGGTTTGCAACTTGCTTGAAGAGCTCGTTTTCGCCGAAGGAAAACACTGGGACCAGATGAGCCCTGGAAAACAGTCGGAACGGCGGTGAGCAGCAAGAACTGCAGCAGTGGGCAGGCTGCTGCCCAGCAGGGCAGGGGCTCCGAGCTGCAGCAGCAGCAGGAGACATCTCTCCAAAGTTGAATGTGTTTGGGGTCTTTTTAAGTCATTCACACACAACTAGCCGCTGGCTTTTAAGGAAGTATTTAGCTGGTTCTGCAAGTTTTATTGATTAGTTGTAGTCGTAAAAATACATGATTATGCACATATCATAATCTTATCCATCAGTATTTCAGCAAGTCCACCCAGGTTTTCCCTGCATTTTCTCTGCGGGCAAGCAAAGAAGCCCTGTTGCTAACCTAGTAATGCTCCTGGCTGGTGGGATCAGACCTTGGCCTTCCCCTGCCTTTTGACCCGAGTGCTGCACGCACCTGACTTCAGCACAAACAACATGATGAAGAGCAGACCTTCTCACAGACATGAGTCCAATGCCGAATTCCCCCGCTGACCAACTCCTGGTGAAATCCTGCTTCCTCCAGGCTTCTTCTGAAACACTAACCTTAATCTGTTACTATCAAAGGTCAAATCATACCCACAGAAATTATACTAGTTCACTTTGGCTCCCACACAGCTTAATGAATTTTGGTTCAGTTCATGAGTTGGTTGGGAGGAAAAGCACTGATTCCCACCTGGACAAACTCCTGAATCTGATGGAATCGGTGCTAGTGTCTCCAATAAGGGAAAAAAAAATAAAGTATTTCATATCATGATTGCTTTTTTTTTTTTTTTTTGCAACAGTTTAAGCTCTAAAAAAAAACATTAAAGGCCAGAAAGATTCTGATCACTCTCTGGAGGCCACTGAGGTGTTTTATTTGCTGTACTCGAGTCTTAAGTTCTATATTTCAGCTCTATTCAGTTTATACCATCTTTGAGGAAAGCCTAACTGTATATCAGCAGCACTACTACTATTTTTGTTAGGATGACAAAATTCCTGGAGAAGGGTGAATGCCCGAGGTGGAGGTGCTGAGGACAGAGCCGGCTGGACGGTCCCATGGACAGTCACAGCCACCGGCACGGAAAAGACCAAGAGCTTTTGTAGCTCCCAAAACCTCAGACGTCCCGAGTGCCTCCAACTGCCACTCTGCTCTCGCTGCAAAGGAAACATTGGAAAGCCCAGAAAATAGCGTGGCTCTGTATATACTCCATTTTTTACTATGACTCTAAAACGAACAGGAAGATCTTGTGGTGCAATAGCATTTTGTATACACCCCGAGTGTGGGATTTATTTTAATCTGCACACCAAAGACTTTTGCAAGACACTGTAGGAGGTTGCGACAAAGAAAGGAGTCTCTTTTGATTATGAAACTAAGGATAAGTTAGCTGATTCATCATTTCTGTCTTTGGAATTTCTTCACGTTGTAGCAGGTATTGTGTTACCTTGGACCAAAATGTCCTTTCCAGAAGTGCCACGGACTCTGCGTGCACGTTGCGGGGACACTGGAGGACAGCACTGCAGGATCAGCCCCTACGTCCCTGCACGGGCAGCCAGGGCAGCCCCTTCCTCCTGTGATACTCGATGCTGCAGACCAAGAGCACCAGGAGATGCCCAGATCCAGGATCAGCTGCAGCCATGAAGACTTGGGGAGCTGGGCCAGGGGACCTCCTGGTGCCCATTTCAGGCTGCTGAGAGGTGCAGACGCTGAGCTGCTTTATTAAGGACAAGGAGCAGCCCTTGCAAGGCAGGACCTCACGAAAGCAGAGGCCACCGCGCGCCCTGTGAGGAGCCCCAACTCGTCAACCTGCATTAGGGCTGTTTTTGAAATCAAGGCCAGGAGGGATGGGAGTATCTTGTTTCTCAATCCAAATCAGCTGATACGGGATGAACACCAGTCTTGGTGATCTCTCAGATTTGTGGATGTGCTCACAAAACAGATAGATATTTTTTTTTGTAAACTTTTTGGTAAAATAAAGAATAAACTACTAATGGTGTTTTTGATCCTATTGGATTAATCAGCAGTCAAACAGAGATTGAGTAAAGACTCGTTTAGGCACTGAAGGCCCAGTTTAAATATACTAAGCCTTATTTCTGTGTAAAAATTGAACTAAAATGTTACAGTCCATGGGAGAACAGGTCCTTTATGAGATTCCTAAGGAAATGCATAAAAGAAATCTCTTGGCATCTTCTACACAGAATAGTTTATAGAATAAAAAAATAATACATTAGCAGCCTACCTGAAAATGGAGAGCTGCTCTTCTGCATTTTTTCCTCTGATTAATAGCTAAAAAAACTCTTACAGAATTGGTCAAATATTGTGGGTTTTTTGTCCCCTCATTGCTTAACACACCAATGTATATTCCTGGAGCTATCTAGAAAGCTCATCAAGAGTAAGGCATTGGTTCCAACAGTTCTAGTGCACAAGGCATCTGGAACAGTCTGTCACAGAAACAATAGCTCATATTATGCAAATCACTCAAAAGATATTAATGTCATCTCTGTTCCGTAACAACCTAATGGATAAGATATCGTTAAAAAAAAAAAAAAAAAAAAAACTTTTATTTGAGACTCACACCCCAAATTCTGAGAAATTTACATTTGTAATTAACAGCTTTCCCCCAAAATTCTTTAGAATAAGGATTAAAAGTCTTCCTGGACTGTACTTCTAAGTGATTTAGTAAAATAACGTCTAGCTTTCTAACCTTTTTGCTTAGAATGATATGGAAACAATATTTCAATGTAGCTTCAATTTACAGAACAGAGTAACAGCCGAGTCTACCAGCAATGACAGCCATAGTTTACTAATATTGTTTCACAATTATTACTTTTTTGCTACTGCAATAACACAACAGAAACAAATAACCAAGATATGTTAATATTTCCACCTACTGCTTACAAATTATGTAAGACAAGAAGCTTTCAACATTCCCAGATGGGATCTAAATGCCCAGACTGGCTCCCGTTTCAGACATTTGCACATGCATACACAAATTACTTTCAGATTCTACTTATGAGTTTACCATATACAATAAGTACTGTATTTATGAACCAGGCTACATTCAAGTACGCTTGTTGGAACAGTCTTAATGCGACACCTACCCGTGTTTCAAGGCCATTTTAATGAAACCTTTCCTCTTGAGGATGTTCAGCGTTAGGCTCCCAGGATGCGCGTTCAGGGACTCCTCTGCTCCTCCGATGACAATGACGGACGCGTGGCCCCCTCCGTCCTTGTTCAGCACGTACGAGACGCTCTCTTTGGCCGCGGAAACCATTCCTTTAGGAACAAACATTTTAAGAGTGATTCTGTAGCACCTCATAGAGAAGCACAGTGGAATTTATGAAATATTTGTAAGTGATACCTAAATGATATTTCTGATATTTATAAATAATTATAGCACAGGACAGAGTTAAAGATTGGGGTTTAACCTCTAAATGCAGCGGTAGTCTCTGGCACGTCCTTTGATTTCCCACTGATGAGGCTACCACGAGCCTACCCTCTCTCCTGCCTACCACACAGGTTACCTGCTATCTTCAGGAAAGAGACGGCTCTTCTGCCAACACGGCTCCTTACTGGAGAGGCTCCTATGCCTAAGAGAATCACAGCAGATACTGTGCAGAGGTCACAGCTAACGTAACAGAAGCAGGTGCTTACAAACAAATTCACAGAGCCTTCAACAGAATAAGCAGAGGACTTACTAATTAAGCACAGATCTGCACTGCAAGTCAATCCCTTGTGTTCCTTCCTCAGGTGTAGCACAACAGTCCCAATGACTGTATCGGCTTTTCCTCTAGCAACCAGGACCTGATGCTCACAAATCTATCTAGGCTAGAACACCATGAAGCTTTCCCAATATTCCAGCACTCTCATGGAAGGACATTCTGCTGGGATATTGAATACATGGATTTGCAATTCTGATATCAATCTGAAGTGCATCTAGGCATGTCTGTAAGCCTGCAGTGGCTGAATAGCTGCTCTAAAATCACAGCATTCATGCAGAAGCCAGGCATGAAAACCAGACCTGGCCTTACCCAGATTTGTCTTGACTGTACTTACTCAACTGCTGTAGTTTAATGCATTTAAGCAAAATAATTGAATTAAACTGTTCTGAAGGAACACTCGTCCTAATTTCATTATATATTCTTCTCTTCCCCATAGTTTATTACTTGTTATCTTTCATTATTACTGCAGTATCAACCATGAATATTACCCCTTTTTGACAAGTGCTATAGAGACAGAAGATAGTGTTTCTTTAGAGCTTTCATCACTGTTACAATTGCACAAGCTTGAAATACGGGACCTCAGTCAGAAGTAGGTAATTAATTTCTGACTAAAGAGATATCTGTACTGAGCAGGACTTTAAACTTCTCAGGTAAGAGATTATCTTCAATTTGTTTTTCAAGTGCCATTGTGCAAGGACTAGTGTTCTACTTCAAACATCCCCTTCTGCGAGGGGAAAATACGAGCGTTAGTGCAGAAATGCAGCTTCAAACACTCCTAATTGCCATGTGGACAGCATGTGCACTGGAATTTTGGGGGGGGGAAAAAAAAAACACCACTCCGGAGGAGCCTACGCCATATCCCTTCCTCACCTCCCAAATGGGGAGCCTTCCATAAGCCCAGGCTGTTTCTGTGCCTGCTCACAGCTTAGTGGTGCCAGGAAACACAGCCTGGGCCAACATCAGAACCCAGAAGCCCCAAAGCCTCTATCATTTCCCCTGTGTGGGCAGAACCACTGAAAGGGCCCCTGCCCATAGCACATTCAGAGGAGCGGAGGGAATGGGGATTGCCCCACAAACACTGAAGCAAGAGGGCTGAGGCAGAGCAGGTTTGGGGAGCCAGCCAGGCGGGGACGGGAGATGGAGCTATGGAAAAAGGCACTCGAACACTGAAACGGCTGCTGGAGGCTACCTGCTTCCCACTGCCTTTCCTACCTGCTTACCATAGCTAGAAGCAGTATTCAAAAAAAGTGACAGAAGTATCTGTAATGATCAGTCATTATATGACTTGTTAATGTTAGCTAAAACAGGTACATTTTAAACAGTAGAAATATGTAGTTTGATCCTGACATCCAAGATTTAATAATTAGCACTTATTCTCATAGAAACTAAGCTTTAGATGCAATAGACCTTATTCTCAGAATAGTCTTGTTAGAGGAACAGAATCACTGTGGCTCTTTGCTGCAGTAAAGCTCCTACCACCAGTTGATCTAACTGTATTGTAACTGCAATTATGAAGCAATAGAACTGTGCACTGCAATCAGTTTTAAATGACACATAATCATATCGTTCAGTAAAATTAACAAGATCTTCCAAGTTATTTTGCAATAGTTCATCGCAAAACAGTGGTTTAACTTAAGGCCAGTGTTGAACCAAATGAAGAGAAATTACAAATCACCACTGATTTGTGTAGTAGACACAGCACTTTAAGCAAGAGCTATAACATGAAGCAATAAGCTGAGACATTCTGTTTTTACCTACCAGCACTCATTATATATTCTCTGAAGAAGGGACAGCGGAACCAGATGGGAGTGATATGAAGGTATGGAGTAATCCCAGGAAATAGAGTCTTGAAACTTGACCCAGTGCAAAAGTTTCCAAAGGCTCCAGCTACCAACACCCCATGAGGGTGAAAGCCAAGCAAGTAGTTGTGTTTTGGACTCAATTCTGAAGTTTTTATAAGCTGAAATTTTGAGACAGTAGAAGAGATTATGATACTTCTATATCACAGGGACTTTAAACACAGAATAACAAAACATAAGGATTGCACATTGACAGGACACAGAACTGACAACACTTCATTTATGTCTTCTGAGGGCTTTAAAATGTTCTATTTTACACCAGAACAAAGTAATTTTAAATATATTTATCCTGAATGATCATCTCTGTATCATTTATGGAGCACTATCTTCAGACCAAATAGTCTAAGTGAAAAACCAACCTGCATTCCCCACTCCTGTTGCTAAATCTCAGATTCCCAGTGTTTTAAGAAGTTCAGTACACTCTGAAGTAACTATTTGAGTTTTACCAAAGACGACTCTTAGACATCTGATAGTGTTCATGAAAGCTTTAGGTGTCCCGCCTCAAGAGTTTACAGTTGGCCGAGACACCTTTTACTCACCTTGATGGGAAAGTATTCCCTGAAGTACTTCCAGATTGTCCAGTTTCTGATACACTGGAACCTTCTCCCTCCAGCACACGGCATGTCCCAGTCGTGGTAGAGCCACAGCAAGTACAGGACGCCGAGGAACCAGAAGTTGCTCAGAATCAAGATTACAAAGAACCCACAGCAAAACTCCGCTGTAAAAGATGAAAAAGGAAACCAGGAGGAGCATTAATCACAACCATCTCCTTGCAAGATTTTGAATTCTCAACCCTGCTGTTTTTATTACGGATGTTGTTCATACTGCAGACTAACTGAAGTTTGCTTATTCCATGTTGTGTGAATGTGCAAAAGAGGGCACCACCTCTGTCCCTCTTTCTCACTCTACCGTGTAACTTGATGAATTAGCTCAAGATGATGCTGGTTTACTTCAATAGAAGAAAAGCAGGAACCAACAACCAACCTGCTCAGCTTTTCCCCGTGGTGAACATGTACAGCCTGACAGAGACCAGCTCATTTCCCTAAGAGGGTGCCCAGGATGACAGCAATGCTAACAAGGATACAACGCTCCAATGGGAGAGGAGAGGGGAGCTGGGCTGGGAAAGGAAAGGGGGAGAGGAGGCAGCAGTGAGACCTTTTTTCTAATGGAATGGTGTTTGGCAGATCCTTTCCCTTTTTTTGCTTAGTCTATCAAATAGGGATGGCAGTTCTGGCCGCTTACAAGAAGCAGCTGAGCAGGGACACGCACTAGGCTAGACCAAAACATCAGCAGGTTCCAGTTCAGTCTCTAAATACGCCGCTCTAAGAGGAAACCGACCGTTTCTTTGGGAGCCTGACAGCAGGTTGAACTCCTGCTACTTTCAGACTTGCGTCAACGAGAACTGTAACACGCCACCACAAGAGCAATGCACAGGAAGTGCATTATACACAGTGCAAAACAAAACAAGGGAAAAAAAAGTGTTTGATTAAGCAGAACGTGTTACTGGGGGGCCCGATCCTAGGACACCTCCCAGGGAGCCTGGGCTTTGACGGGTATGTGCGGTACGCACAGCGAGCAAGCCCAGAGCTAGGCTTTGCTGGGACACTGAGGAGGCAGAGGTGTGTTAGGCAGGCCTTATTCTGCGAGATTTTACAACCAGCTGCTATGAAATATTTTGTATGTCCCACAACTGACTGGCTTTCATGAGGACAACACCTTGTTGCATCCTAAAAGGAAATATATCAGTGAAGAATTTCAGGCTTAATACATCTGCAAAGAAAGGGGAATAAAGAATAACAGGAGTACAACAGTCAGTATCTTGGCTAACACAATGTAAACTTTGGCAGAAAATGTGAAAATAAGCAGATGGACTAAGAGTAAGGACAACCCAGCCTACTTAAGTCGAGCTCCATGCAAGATTTTTCCTAGCAGAAATTAGTTGGGAGTGGAAAACTCACAGCAGGTTGGCTGTTTTAAGCAGTTTCTACCTGATGAAAAACAGCTCAGCTGGACCTATTTGCATCTTGCATTTCCTCCAATGTGAATACTTACTTATTCTGAATTTCTTCTAACATGTTCTTGCCCAGAATAAAAATCAATAATCCTGGGGTCAGTAAGAACTACCTGAATCCAGCAGCAGGAGATAAAGCAGGGAAAGCTGTTGATTTGATCAAGCAGGAGAGAGATGAATGTTCCCATTACTAGCAGAGAATGAGCAGGAAAAAATCAATCTCACTCCAGAGAAGGGAAGAGAAGTCAACGACCACAGCAAAATCAGGAATGGGATCAATGCTCAACTCTGCTGTTTAAAAGACACCTCATTCTTCGGTACCATCACTATGGGTGCACTTTGCTTCACGCTTAAGCAGGCAACACCAGCCTCGCCTGAGCTAGCACCTCAGGAAGAGCTCTAGAAAAACACTACAGCTAACTGAGGCCCAAAGCCCTTTGAAATCAATGGGGAAAAATCCCATGAACTGCAGCACCAAGTGCTAGGGAATGTTTTAAAACGCAGAATGTGTGACACGGGTGAAGGATCTGACGCTGACTTTCATTTCTCCTCAGGCAGAATTGACTTCGAAGCCCACACCAGCACCAGTTCACAATAGAGAACAGAAATATTTTTAGCAAAAGTCTTAACATCTGTTATTTGAAGAAGAGATCCAGAACTTAAAGAAATTTCTCAGTATTGTTATCTCAACAGGATGCCAAGGTTAACACTCTAAATTTGAGTAGGTACAAGTTCTTGAATGCATTAAGAGATGAATACCTAGTTCTCACACAGAAGTTGATATGCAGAAATATTCCCTAGTGTCCCTGCTGGAAGGGCTTTTATCTCAGTGAAGACTCACATCCTTTTTAGTATTAGTTACCTAGGCAAATATCTGGAAGATGTTTTGCACCAAAGCACCATTGATACAGAAGCCAATTAAAGCAGTATGCTAAGTGCTAGACAGCACTATTTGACACTACACAGACAAACATACAAAGGAACTCCCTGCTTTGCTTTGCCAAAGCAGAGCCAGACTCCACATGCCTGAGTGTGCGCGAGGCGCTGGGCAAGTCAAGCTGCTGTCGGCAGCACTTCCCGAGAGGAGCTCGGCATCCTGCAGGACAAGGCCCATTTATTACTGCATTTGCAAGGAGACATGTGAAACAAACACCTATTATCATACCTCCTCATTATTTCAGTGTATTATTAGTTTGCAAGATGAGTTAAACATAGATGACTCAAAACCAGTGAGCCTATGAACAAAAAAATAGTATTTTCTCCTTCGAGGAAGTCAGCGAGTAAATAAGTGACAAACACTCTAGCTAAATTCATTAGAAAATTCCAGGCAAATGAGGAATGCCTTATTGTATCCTTGCCTGTTTGGATGCACTTCCAGTACACAAGCATCATCTAAGCATCATCTTTGTGCTTGAGCCCAAATTAAAGCCTTAAATATCTCTGTGGTGCATTGGAACAACGGGGAAAAAGGGAAACAGTAAGGGTCAGAAGAGAACACATAACCACAGGACTCTGAACACCAGGTTTGCCAGTCTGCATTAAGCAAGTTAGTTTATATTCCTATTTCCTACATTTTCCTCATTGTAAAATGGGAGTACTAATCTGTTGCAAAAAATATATATTTTTAAAGGATGAAAAATGCTATATAGTGTCTGTAGCAGCACTAGAAGCATCGTGTCCAATGGTGTTTGAATGGCTGAGGCTTCGCTCATTAAGTAGGCTCCAAGATTTCAGCCATAGGCACTAAATTCATAAAATAGTTTAATACCACAGTAAGAGGAAGTAGAAAACGAGCTCATTCAGTAGGAAAATAAGGGTGAATTTCAGGTTACACAATAACTAAGGAGTTAAAAAATGCCTGAGCAATACGTATGGCGAAGCCACGCTGTCCAAGACAGCCTGTCCCCTACGCTCAGGGCAGGGACCACGTCCCGCGCCGGTGCTGAGCTGAGCGCTGCCAGCACCCGGCAAGGGCAGTCAGGCAGCAGCGAGCCCTGGCCGTGCTCCTTAGCGGGGCCTTCTGGAAACGCATCGTGCTGCTGCCGCGGGCACCGGCCCAGGAACGCCGGCGTCCAGGGATTTGAAACTAGCCCCACAAAGGAAGCAAACTGCAAACTGACTTTCCAGTGAAAACCCAGGGAGAGGTGTGGTTGCAAGTATCTGTACTTCTCTTGGCATTCTGAACAGAGGAAAACACACAAAGCAAGCCTGGGGCAGAAAATAAGCTGAAAAATCTCATTTCTAACCCTCCAGCCACAGGGGGAAAAATGAAAAGTGTATTTTCAATAACCACCGAGATGCACCTACCACAGAGCTGTTCCTTCCTCAGTTCTAGGCTTCGGAGCAGCAGTACTTCTGAAGGCAGACACTTGGGAAACAATATTGGGGGAGCACAGAAGAAGAACTGCACAGTGAAGGTTTAGTCCCCGATTAACATTTTTTCTATAATCCCTCAAGGTAACATAGTAGATTTTGTCAGGTCTTCAGAACAACATGCAGATCTGATTGGCCCTGCTTACTAGATACTTTCATGAGATACAAAATAATTTTATAAACTATTTATAAACGGTAAAGAGCAGAACAGAATTGTACATGGAGGGGGGGGCTCAGAGGGTCATTTACTCTGGAATTTGGTCCCAGTTCGCAGCAAGGCAAACCTTCCATTGACAAACACTGATTAACTAGAGATAGAGAGAACTGCGCCACAAAGGTCTGCACAAAGCAAAGCTCCACGTTGCTGATAACCGGATGCTGAGACAGCATGCCAGGGAACACCAGCAGTCTTTATTTCCCATCTTTTTGATTCCTCTTTAAGCATCCGCTACCATTTATGCTCAGTCACAGAGTGCCAAGCTGGGGCTCCGCTGGCCTGGCTCAGCACGGCCATTCTTCTGTCTTGCTCTTTTGAGGGCCAAACAAAATACATACAGAAACATGGATAAAGTTCCTCCTGGAGACTTAGGTAAGCGATCCAGCATTCCTAGAGTACTCATCAGGCAAGCACCAGTAAATGCTGTTACTCTGTGATCATACAAGAGTTCCTGCCCAAGGGCCAGGAATAACTATCAGAGACAGGAGCATAGACAGGTAAAAACAAGGTAGCTGAATCAGTCAGCTTGCCAGGAGAGGTTACAGCAGCTTGGCTGAGTTTCTTTAGGCAAGGAGAGAGAACTTTTTAAAGCAAGGCTTTGAAGAGGAATAAGATGGCAATTTTAGCCAGTTACAGCTGAAGACTTAAATCAGCACCAGATAAATGAAGAACTGCACTAAGCTGGGGGTGAGGAAAGGCAGTGCTTTTTTGTTTAACACGTTATGCTGCACACTTGCTTTTTTTTTTTTTTTTTGGTTTCCAGTAGCATCACCCCACTCCTTGACAAACATTTCATCATTTCTATTCTTTTCTGGAAGCCAGAGCCACAACTCAAAACTGACTCCAACAAAATTCAGTTAGCAGCATTTCATCCTACAAGATAAGACGTAGGGAAGTTTTGTTGCTAGAGAACAGGATGCATTTCATCATACACCACTGCATTTAGCATCTCACTTCACAGATGTGCAAAGCACACAGCTGTTATTATGCAATGATTTTGCATTAAGTATTTTACAAGTCAATGCAGAATCTCATGAGGCTGTAACTAAGCTCCTTGGACACACGGTGAACGCACACTAAAAACAACCCCCCAGTGCTCACACACACGAGTCACCTCGCAGGTCCCCGGTGAGGAGCGGACTGGCCCCACCGCTGCTCAGCTGCAGGGGATGCCACACGGGAGGCACCAGCCCTCATCAGGAAACCGAACCCTGGGATTCCTGTCGGAGGGTTCAACTTCCTCACATTGCACTCGATCCTGTACATGCTGAATTCTGGCATTCCTTTTTACGTGAAATTCATAGGAGCTGGCAAAGAAGAAACTCCTGTGCACTGATCACAGCATTTCAAAATCAACTTTTACTTCTGGCGATACATACCCGATCTTCACAGATAACTAACTGAAGAACCACTGCTACAATAAAAGCTTGGGGTTTTTTCCATGCTTGAGAGCAAACTTTGGCAGCTTTTTAAAGCAGAGAACAGGAAGCACAGCAACTTACATGCAGAATTTTAAAGAGCTCCCTTTTGTGTTTAATGAAATTCTGTGTACATCCATACGGCTTTCTAGGGGAGATGCATGTTTATTCTGCCTGCCTTCTGAAGCAGCAGCACTGCAGCACCATGCTCATACACAGCACAGACCCAGCAAGCTGTGCAAGCAGCAGCCCCTATTTGCCCGTGCGGCGCTATCGCAGCCATCTCCTGGGCTTCAGGTGACTGAGGAGCTATTACTACAGACGGAGATAAGCACCTACAGCTGCTCAATAGCTATTGCATGTGTGTATTTCAGAGTCACTCGTGGGTAATGTTCAGGCCCCCAAGCAAGACAGCATCACATGACACTTCCCAAATTTAATTAATTTTACTTGATTCAGCTTTCTTCTTTCCAGACACTCATTTTTAAGAGATCTTTTACTTTATCTGCTAGTCCATATTATTAGGGTATAGCACCTCATTGCATCGACACATGAATTATTTCAGGAACTAAGTCAGTACCCTACTTACTGCTTATTTGGGATGATGACATCTGTAATGCAAATTGTTAGTAACCACGATATTATCTATTCATTTTTTTTCCACATGCAGATACTTCTATGTAACAAAGGCTGAAGCTACAGAAAATGTTGCTTGGTATAATATAGTTCCAGCCATATATTTGTGAAATAAATAAAAATAATAACCCAACCATGCAATCTCTCCTGTGACGAATTCACATGGTACTTGAGTTGTACAAGGTTAACCCTCACGTGATTCGAGAGCATCTTTTTTGAATTCAAGAGCTTACAAACGAGCTTCTTTCTATAACTGTTAGCTATTGGACAAATGCTAAGAGACATCCACACAGACCAGCACTCCAGGATATTAGGCATTAACCCATCTTTCACTACTTAACGATACTTAGAATTCAACCAGGTGGGTTTTCCTGCTACTAGGTGACATATTTGGACCTGACAATTCCTACTGACCTGTGATCGATACATACAACTATGAAGAGGTCACCTCAGCTGTAAAGGTGAGCAGCCCTGTGAAAGCATGAGCAGATCAGTTTATATTCAAGCAACTAGAGCATTTTTGGAGAAATATTCCCCCACTCCCCAACCCATGCACATTCACTATGTTTAACCAGCCTTAAGGAAACCTCCTTGCCAACTTCTTGACATTCACTCACAAGCAATGCCAGCTGCAGAGACAGCTGCCTGCTTTTCCTTTTGAACTGCAGCAACGGTGAATTTTCTGCAGGCCATGTGTTTCTAGGGAGCACATGACACGATTTTCTGTACTTCTTGAGGACGTAGCAGCATTGTTACCAACTAGGCTAGGATAAAAATTGTTTTATTATTATTAGACTGGAGTGATGGGAGATGCCAAGATTTAATTCAATAGTAAAGAATAAAAAGCACAGGCTGTTTGCAATGTGGTCATAAACATCAACTGTTTATATTCCAGTCGCAAGCAATTTAGAGGCAACAAAGTGGTCAAAGGCTAAGAATACAGTGCTTCATACCTTCCCTGCTTCCCTCACATTTACATGTCCTTCAGTCACCCAAAATTAGACCAACATCTAATGACAACATATTTGCAAGAAGATGCAAGATACATGCACTTTCCTCTCTTTGTAAATCCCCAAGCACAATCATAAAACACTGTAAGCATGTCCTGTAACATGCAAGATGGTTACTCTACATCTGAGAGGTGTGTTCTGTAAGAGCATATTAAATAATGTCGTGCCAATTTAACACAATGTATGGACCTGCTCCCAAAGGATTAAGGCTCAGCTCACCTTATCAAGTGACTCATTATATCAAGTTCAACATAACTACCCAAGAAAATAAGATTTGCTGCTGTGATTAAAGGCTTAGTGATAAGAGTCTATCATTAGAATAATTCACTCTATATAAAAAAGTGAAATTATATTACTTAGTAACATTTAGGGCCACTTAAAGCAAGAACATTTTTCAAAAATTTACTGAAGCTGCTGAATTTAACCCTTTGGCTATCAGTCTTTATTAAACACTTATTTACCTTTATCACCTATTTAGATGATAAAATTACAGAATTACAGGATATAAGATTATTTTACAAAATCAGTAAGAAAGCTCAAATGTTAGTTATCAGAAGCCTGAGGGATATTTTAATAATACAGTCACGGGCAGCTCAAGAACAGGTTGCAAAGAGACCATATAGCAAGAGTGAAGGCAGCAGGAGAGAAGGGAGAACAGAGGCTGTGGGAGCAGCCTCCGTGCGGCACCTTCCCACGGAGCTGGGAGGGCAGCGCAGCCAGAGCAGCTCTCTGGGGGCAGAAGCAGCGGCAGCTGTTACCGAGCAGCAGGAAGGAGAAGATCCCGCCTCGGGCCGCGCCAGCCCCCAGCGAGGCCCCACGGCGACCGCCCCTGCACGGCGCACACGGGCCTCGGCCTCGCCCCACGCGCGCCACGGCTGTCCCGCGTTGAACAAGTCACAGCAGACCACAAGGGTTCCAGTGAAGGTGGCTTTACTGGCCCATTCACGGAGGCGCGAGTCACCAGGTGCAGCTCTGCCCACGCGGAGCCTCTAGAGCAACCCCAGAAGGCAGCGCTTGCACCGGAGCCCATCTCCTGTTGAGGGCTTGCAACAGCAAACTCCACGGCTGCTCTGCAACCACTGCTCAAAGAGCCTACTCAGAGCTGACCGTAACCTCTAAAGGGCACAAAGCACTGCGGTTTAACTCCCGTTTCTGGTTAAACCAGGCGGCTCAGCCCCCACCCACCCGTGCCGCGTACCCGGGGGTGCCGTGAGAAC